GTGGTGGCACGCTAGCTAGACTGGATTTTTTTAAAACAAAATTCTTCCTTTTTGAGAGCTAATTTAGCAGGTCCCTCAAAGTATTTGCTACGAGTCATGCAAATGGCCCGTGCAGAAAGTCACAAATAGTAAGTTCGCTGATCGGGGCCAGACTTTGAGATTCATGCAAATATTTCCGTATAAGTTGGACATGGGAGGCACGATTGCGCGCATAGCCTCTTGCACTCTCATTGGACGGCGACCGTCAACAACTAAAAAGCCACAGTGCTCCGAAAGTCCCGACTACTCAGCAGCCATTCAGTATTGGAATGTACGACGAAAATAAATTAATTTATTTGGGTGCATTTGACAATTGCCTTCGGTTCCCCGGGGCTGGTGTGTGCCTCAGGGGTGAAATCAATCCGGATCCTAAACGAATGAGTAGTTTTCGAAAGTCGGAAGCCTTCTCAATCCCATCATAACATTCCACGGGGATAGATAACACGTCTGGAGGAATGGAGCCACGTTGGTTACCGCATCAGACATTTACTAGGAGCAGCCCACACAGCCACCTCAACTTAAATGCGAGTTTTGTACCGTACTTTTCGTGGGCTAGCATGAAATGAGGTGCAGACAGCAGTGATGGAAATTTTCCAAAACACAGGAAAACGCTGGCATGCTATACCACAAGATGAGGCGGTCGGACACTGTAGTGTGGACTCTCTCATGCTATAGGCGGCCTCGCGTTGGGTTACAAGGGGGTGCCTATTCTCATGTTCGAGCGTTAGCCCTAACCAAAACCTCAATATGGACCCTAACATTAACCCTCATAGCCCTAATTCTAACACCCCTAACCCCAACCTTAGTCCTGATCCTCCTAACTCTAATCCCTGCGTTAGCCCTGACCTTAGTTCCCCTGGAATTTAGGGCAAGGCCATCTGTACTACAGGGGGTCTATATTCCCATAGCTAACCACTATAGCACCAACGTGCAGGAAATACAAGTGGCCGCCTGAATGAGGGAGATGACAACGCCGTACCCTCCCCCCCAAATGGCTTGTGAAATGACAGCAACGATCTCTGGTGGCAGCAACTCTGATGCCAGACTTAGTATGATAACATCGAGGCTGACTGACTCCGTGTACCTCTGACTATAAGGAGTGTTTGTGACGTGTTTGGGTGATTCGAGAGTTACAATGAGTAATGGAAGAATTCGTTTGTTGTATAGCAAGCCGACCGGAATAACGTTACCCCGTCCGCGCAGCGAATATCATGGTGCTGACAATAACATCGGGGATAAGACACGAGAGTGTGGAAGGGCGAATTGGCAGATAGGGCGGCGAACAGTCTTGTAAACACGACCTCATGGGCTTTAAAAATCCGGCCACAGCTTTTCACCCTTCTGTTCGCCTTGGCTATTTTTCTGCTTGGTACAATGATTAACATATTTTACTCAGCATGTATTGCTTTATTGTTTTCGTCGTTTCTTAAGACTTCTATTAAGGGCTGGTGCGTAAACTAAATTAGCATGATTTTTCAACAAAAAATCGCGTAACTATTATTATGAATGATTTCAGGACTACGCATTACGTCGAAGGCTGTAGGTTAAAGTCAGTAAGCCGCAAGCGTGATATTTCCGCCCACTCCTGTCCAAATCATTTTCAAATAAAAAACGTCGCTGTATGTGGTACTTCGCCTCAAATGCCAAACAGAACACCTACTGCCCACTTCGAGTCTTCCACCGACGAACTACAGGTCGCACTCCAATAAAAATCATGAAACTGACCTCATTTGTCCGCAAAAGAGCATTGTAAAACGGAAGTGTCTTATTTTCCAGAGACGCGGCTAAGCTTTCACAAACGCCATAATCCGTCTGTTGCTTTCGCGGGGACAGCAAAGTCTCCAGAAGCGGCAGAGGTGGAGGGGTTGCAGTGTTCGTAAATCGCACCTCGTGAAAAACGGTAAACTCTTATTTTCATACTCACATGACCATAGGGACGTCGCCGAGATTATCCACAGGACCCGCTTACATAAATGTTAAGGACATTCATTTAGTTGACGTCTGCATTCTTCCCTCAGTCTGGGAAGACTTCTTAGCCCACCTTGGTCTCCAGTCAGGGAAGCATGCCATATCGTCTTGTGAACATCTTATATGAAGCAGACAGGGAATGCTGGGGGACCCACTGACGAGCCGAACCCCTCACAGCTGTGTCATGCAGCGACAGATTGTCGGCGAAACACCCGTGTATAGACTTTTGGCTACTACCTGTGCTGTTAGTATGGAATCCCCTTACCTTAATTAATCGCATTTCTGAAAAAAATAAGAATTCTAGATTTAACACCTACCCGCTCTTACAAGTCTCACTAAAACAGTTGTCCTCACTACTGCAACCTAGCCTCGTAATTTTTGGCTTGATCGCAGTTGGTAGCCAGGAATGTGGAAGCGGACGGCGACCTTAACCCTAATTCTTACCTTAACCCAAACCCAAACCCCAACCTTAAACGTTAACCGCTAACCCCATTGGCAACCCTAACCCTTACTGAAATCGCATACTAAACCCTATTCCATAGACATAACCGTAACTGGAAAACGTAACCGTAATACTAAAACCTATTCGTACGCTCAAACCCTAACCATAACCCGAAAACCTAAGCCTAAAGGCATAACTCTAGTCCGAAAATCGAAAACCATTAACCGGCACCCTAATCCTAACCTCAAACGTAAAGCGGAAGCCAAATGGGTCAGATGTGATTCTGGAGCCCCACAAAATAGCCCCCGTAAACAACCCCCCCCCGCCACCTGTAATACGGGGCCTGGCTACCAACTGCTATCTAGCCTAATTTTTTCCCGGACATCCTCCAATTAGTGTCGGAAGTGCGTTCATCGATCGGGTTACGGGATGTGTGCTGTGGCTCGGTCTAGAGCGCCGCAGTCAATGGCACAGCGACTGGTAGCAGAAACAGAGGCAGATTACCCACCGCAACTTACAGAACAGATGGCCCTTGACTCGGTTGGCAGGGCGTTGAACGCGAAATCAAGGTTCAAATGCGCAAAATCTTAGTTCGGGTAAAGCCAACTGACGACGGCTAGGAAGCCAGGAATGACCACTACAGCCTCCCTCGTCTTTGTCGGGATGCAGTGCTTTATATGCCATTACTATCGCAGTGCATTCTGCTCTGAGGGACACGGATAGGGTTTGTCGTACATGTCCACTTACGTTTCTTGATCAGTACACTAACCCAAGTACTGTTCATGACTCGATCGTTACGTGTATTGCGGATTAGTTTTAGTTCCAAAGTTCTGAAAGGTAGCCGCAAGTCTGTTTCTCTTTCTAATAAGTATGGGGCATTTTAAGGTTCCATCTTATCTCGTCATCTATTCTAACCTAAGGCTGAAGATCTTGGGTTGCCCAGCTACTGCCTACGTGTTAAGCATGCCGACAGTGTAGCAGCTGATCGTTCTGTCAAAATAAGGATGGTTTGGGTCAAGTTTCAGCAGGATTATCAGGGAGCGGTCTTCTACCTGACAGTCAAAAGTCAATTCAGTTTGTTTTTGGACTGCTCTACTATCGCAGACCTAAACATTTTGACCAACAAAGCCCTGTCCCTCCAGTACCTCTGTGCTACCTCACCTCCGAATATTTTATTCCATTTCCTCGCTGAAGCCTTTTTAAATAGTCTTGTGAAATTATTTTATGAATTCGACGCCTAATTACCTACAAATTTCCTTAACCCTTAACATGGTGACTTATAGATTCTTCTATTACCCCTCGTATGCGGTTCTATCCCCTTGTTATCGCCTCCGCTTTGATAATAGGGAATATCCACATTATAAGACGTACCCTTCGCATACTCTTTTGCGACCGGTGTCCTCTACCTTTATGCGGTGGATACCATAATGAGGGAACATTTTTACAGCAGTTGAAATCTTTACTAGTTGAATGCTTGACGACACCAACCTATTTGCTTTGAATGCACATCTTAAAACTCGGTGCGGTTTTCGCCATATTTCCTGCCGCAAGTCGGCGTGTCAAGGCGTGGCAGGATTTGTAACGTTAAAGGCGACTGAAATAAGTAAGATATGATTAGGCTTGCCACTACAACAGGCACCAATCTTGATTCAACTTTTCTCATCCTGATACCTAACCGTCTATATAATGGCCGTAGTGGTTGGGGGCCGATTTTCCGAAAGTTTTGAACTGCCTGCTTCAAAATAAATCTTCTACTTCTTTTTCACCATATCCTTCTCTAACAATTAGGAATTTATCAAGTTAATTATTTCAGAAATTATAAAGTGCAGGACATGGAGTTAATTTCCCTGGACATAACTTTTAAGGGTCAGACCCGAGATGCAAATGTACATTTTAGTCGAAAAAAATCAACAGCTGTGGACTAATCGCGTGATGTCCATTCTGCAAGCAAGTAGTACCACAAGAAGTAGAAATTTCATATGGCAGATGGTTATACTATACTCTCGACACGAATACTAACTAAAAGCCTAGGCGCATGCTTTACCGATGTTCCTGCCGGAGAAAAATACAGCTGCAAGGCGCTCGGTTTTTCAATCGGTCCCTCAGCGTTCACTTTGTGGTTTGTGGGATTTGCCCGGAAAGCGGGGCGATACAGACGATGAAATTTTAAAAATCCGAAAGTTCGGAAATGAATTTGTTATTAAATGGAGAGGTATACATCACATTCTTTACTTTCTTTTTGCTTTTATCAGTTAAAGTATATAATTACCGTTAGAAAGGAGAATGGGATGTAAACTGCTCAAAACCATGCTACTGTTTTTGAATGAGTAGCAATGTCATTGTAATATGGACACAAACGAAACCGAATATAAGGTTTTTCGTGTTTCAAAAAAGGCACTTCTGCTTTATGGTAGAGGGACTCTCACCGATCCCGTTTGTGAACTCACCTGTCCTGTTGTGCCTTGGAACTCCCTCTCTCTCGAATCCCGACAGCAGTCGCACAGCGGCATTACCGACAGAGACAAAGGAGATCGGAGTGGCTATTTCTGGCTTATAAGTCCTCCTCCTCCTCCTCCTCCTCCTCCTCCTCCTCCTCCTCCTCCTCCTCCTCCTCGTCGCCGTCGTCGTCGTCATCGTCAGCCAGCCATACCCAACCCCGAAGTGCGCAGCACCTGCAGCTCCATCCCGCGATCTGCGGTTTAGAAGCCAAACGCCCTAACCTCTGAGTCATGGGGTCGTTGTCCTGTCTCTAGAGGGGCGCTGACAGGTCGCGGGATCGTGCTCTAGGTGTTGCACACCACGAAGTTGGATGTGATTGGCTGTTAACGGCTAATATGCAGAAATGTCCATTCCAGTCTTTCTTGTCCTCGTGGTTAATAGCACTTCTATGCTAACAACTCCGAAAAGGCTGATAGACAGAATGGACAGAATATTTCCCAAAATCCCAATGATACATTAAATATTCGGGGGTTGCTGTTGGATTATCAGCGGAGGTACGTTATTGAACAGGTTCCAGAAAGAACAAGCACGGCAAGGAAATATGGTTCCGTAAACCTTAGTGCTAAATGCAAAAGACAATAGGCAGGCTCAATAAAGAAACCTTTAAGGATGCTGAATGAGGATGTATCTTAAAAAATGGTTAGTTCCGTTGGTAGTTGACTAGGACTGATTTACATTATCGTTAAGTGTACAGTTTGTGGACAGCCGAAATGATTGCACTTTATGCTGAACAAATGAGTTGCAGATTAAAAAGTAGCTTTTGTCTGAAGTGCAGGTCCAAATACGGTCATTTTAAAAAAGGTGCCGAGGAACTGTTTCTTTTCGAAAATTTGGAGGATTTGTCCAATCTAACTGATTTGCAGACCTTATTTCAAAATATTGTCTTGTTTAATGACCCTCCCGCCTTTGCTGGGGTGGAATGAAGTGCAACGGCTAAAATTCCTTTAAGAGTCCTTTTTCCATGCCGGAACGTTTATAAACTTAATTACGGAGTGGCTTGTCTGATAGGAAACGACGGAAATCATTATCATGTGCAAATTTGTTCTAAAGGTTAGTTGCTGATACATTGAATGAATTTTTGCGTTTACGGCCCAGCATTTTGAAAGATAAAAAATGCCTGATCACCAACAGCCTTGAGGTTTGGGAACTGTACAAGTTGCCGCACCAGCTGCTGTGTGTTTTTTAGAGTTTTCAAAGTATTGCTTTAGTATTTGCATTTTCTTGCAACGAGTATTGTAGAAGAAGGCTGATGACTACAAAGTTCCACTCCACAGTGGCAAAATAGGTGGGCCGCGACGTGGCTGATGATGATGATGATGATGATGATGATGATGATGATGATGATGATGATGATGATGATGATGATGGCACAACAGCGAACGTTTTACAACCTCGACTACAAGATGGAGATCATTTGAAAGCCTTGACGGCATTTTATCAAAGTTAAGGCCTTATCAGTGCGAATTCATGCCTTTCAAAATATTTTGGCTCCCACGTATCAACTGTCAAGCTTGGACGGTTTCCGGTCCATCTGACATGCTCGGACAACTTTTGCTTGAATTCGCAGTGGAGAAACTGTCTTTCCAGAATGTAACTCTCGGAACACACGTAAGGGAAGGGCAACATCCAAACTGCCTTGATCTGGTGCTCACTCGAGATGAAGCGTGTGCTGGGATGTATAAGATCGCCTACGAATTATTGCCAGTGATCGTACTGTGATGCTTGTCGAGTACTCCGTGTTCTCCCAACCTGATTCACCTGAACAATTGGAAGCAAATGTCTGGGAGGGAGATTTTTCCAGCATGCGAAGGCAAGTCTTGGCAATGCCGTGGACAACCACATTGAAGGGAACAGTTAGTGACGTCTGGAGCACGTTCAGTTCACTGGTTAGAAGAATTGTAAATATAAACTGTCCATTCAGACGAAAGAAAACAAGCGACCGTCCGCCATGGAGAAACCGAGAATTACAAATTGCGTTTAAGAGAAGAAATAAGTTGTGGAGACATTATCGACTAACAGAGAGTTCTGAACACCTTCAGTAATACAAACGACAGCGGGATGTGTGTAAACATGAGGCTAATATACTTCGAAGGGACTATGAGCTGTTGATATTGCCGAACCCTCCGGAGCATCCTAAAATCCTGTACGGTTAAATACGTAGTGACAAAAGAAATCGGGATCCGATTTCGGCGCGGAGGTCCCAAAACGGAGTACGTGAGACGGATGAACACATGAAAACATCAGTCTTATTCAGTTTCTTTCATTCGGTATTCACTCATGAAACAAACTCCCCTCCTATCCCTCAGCTTCGGCAGCACGTTGTTGTCGAGACAGTCAGTGTTGTCAGTCCTATGTCCCATGCGAATCCAACCCCATGAAAACGCTGACACGCGAGATTAACGCGACGCTGTTTGCAATGGAGTACTCAGGTGCAATATCGCCAATCGACCGACGCATGGCGAGAGCACAGGAAACGGCCCTAGCCCGATTCTACGGTCTCCCAAAAGTGCACAAAGAGGGCGCTCCTCTCCGGCCTATCGTATCACTAAAGGGCACTGCAACCTACGGACTGGCAAAGTGGCTTTTCCAACTTCTCAAGTTTCTGACCTCCGATTCGAACACCACAGTCAGCTCGTCAACGCAATTCTTGGAGAAACTTAAAGGAGTAAG